ATATAAATGTTTCAAATTTCCACCCTTATTATCTATCCATCCAGTCAGGCAGTCAGAAGATATCTGCATTCTCTAACGCTTAGGCATAATCCCTGAAGACAAAAGATGCAAAGCTCAGAATCAATACAGCAGGTACACCACAAACACTTATTAATAGATGCATTGTGGATATTTCTTCACATAATTTAACACAGGCCAGTTTTTGAGGCAGAGGTCAGGCCAGTTTCAGTAAAACATCTTTACTGACAATGTAATTTAATCCAAGAGAATATTTATTCTGTATCTAGCAGAGTAGGTAGTACTTCAGTTCCAAAAAAAGTTGAGACAGTATGTAAAATGGAAATACAAACAGAAAGCAGTGATTTGTAAATCTACTTTGACCTGTATTTAAGCACAAAACTGAAAAAATATTTTTGGAAATATGTGCCTGCTCTGAAATGGATGCCTGCAACACATTCCAAAAAGGTGGGACAGGAGCAATTTAAGATTAGAAATGTAGAGAAATGTTTAAACACATTTTAAACAGCAATGCAATCATTATTGGGTATGAAAGGTGCATCCAGGAAAGGCCTAGTGCTTTATAATCCTGGGTGGGTTGAGGGTCAGCAAAAATGCATGAGTAAACAGTCCAGCAGATTGAGAACAACATTTCTCAATGAGCTAAGGCAAGGATTTTAGATATTTAGAGTCAGGCTATCCTGAATAATGAGCCTTAGTATGTCACAAGCCTGGGTTTTTAGAGTTTTTTTTAAATAAAAAGAAAACAGTGTTGGCAGTTAGCATTCTCCTCCAAGCACGTTCGGCTTTCCAATGACGTTGCGTTAGCAGCAGATGGAGTGGTTGGCTTCACATGGCTTAGAGCAAGATAGTGTCTGCCCTCATCCTCCAAGTGCCGGTGGTATCATGTGACTGGGGGAGTCCTAATTAGTGGTTGGAATTGGATACGACAGAAAATGCCCCCAACCAAGCAAAAACACACACACACACACACACAACGATGAAGTTCATAAAGTAAAACATCAAATATTAAATATATATATATGTTACTGACATTTCTGATTATAAGACAGAAGAATTTACAAAAAAAATAATACATGTGCTTTATGTCCTAATAGAGTTCAGCCCTATTAGACGTTATATCACCACCACTAAATATTCACCATCAAAAACTAAAGGAGATATACACTGACTTTTCAAAATCTCTGCAGAATTCAGTGGTTGATATGTAAACAGAAACATACTCTATTTTATTTACAGTGGTGGTGATAGGAACCAGGGGTCACAATGTCTACAACACAAATATAACCATTTTATTGACTATGCACAACCACCAGTGAACCTACACGTCTTTGAGTTTTTATTAGTAATGTTGACAATGCTAACATTGTGATAAATCTGAAATATGTTATCTTTGAGAACATTTTGCTGTACAATGACCTGCATGACCTCCATCTGAATGTATATCTCTGCCATGAATGGCTTTTAGACCAAAACTGTCATAAAACAATGTCTCAGGCATCAAGCAGTGTATTCATAACCCTTTCATGTAATAACTTTCTCTGAGGCAGATTTTAGAGGCATTAGAGGCTTTGGAACTATGAACTAGGAACTATTCTGACATGGTAAGTTTCCCTAGAATGGAGCATTTCACATCAAACCATTCTGAATGACTGTTTACATATTAACCATTTAGAACAACAGTTAGAATCCCATTTAACCATTTAACCACCTCATCACATCTTCCCTGTAATATTTTGGGCCTGGCAAACTACACGTGTATGTTTTGGCAAACATAATCATTATTATATAACTACTGAATAATACAATTATTCAGTACTCTCCAGAATTATTGTCAGTGATGAACTGTTAGAATTATGGGTGAAGATGAATAAAAATGGTTGTTAAAAGGGGTAATCTTTGAATGTTTGATAAAATCTTTATCAACCTGTGAGCATTTTCATGCACACTCTCTTTGCCAAGATAACAGCACTAACTCTTCTCTTACAGTCCTACAAGGAGGAGAAGACATATGACAAAATTCCTCAGTAGATAATCTCTGCGTATCCCTTAGAGGCTGTAGTCCTCATTTGTGGCCTCTTTTTAAGCTCACCTCACAGGCTTTCAGATGCGTTTAGGTCAGGGGAATAGGCTGGATGCTGCAGGACCTTGATTTTCTGGTCAGTCATTTGGAGGTACTTTAGATCACTGTCATGCTAGAAGATCCAACCACGACCCTGTCTTAGCCTCCTGGCAGAGACAGCCAGATTTTGATCTTAAATTTCCTCATATGATAGAGTCCATGGAGCAAAGCATCCTAGTAAGGTTTGAGGGCCTTTGAAGAAATACAGCCTCAGAGCACCACAGATCCACCACCATGCTTCACTCTGGGGATTACGTTCTTATCTGCATAGCACTGACTCTTTTTATGCCAAACCCATCTCTGGGGTTTCTTGCCAAAAAGCTACAAATGAAAGTCCTAGTGATGTTTAATGCTCCAGCAGCTCCAGGAGGGGTTGCGATTTGACTACAGCAGAGGCTTTTTTCTGGAAAGTCCTCCAAATAGTTTGTTAATATGATGGTGGTGTCTCGTTCTAGTTTGGGAGATTTGGTGACTCTGGGTCACAATCAACTCTTGCGACTCTCTAACTTCTATATTTGGAAAAGTTCTGCTTCTCAAACCTCCTCCTCGCTGTGTGAGGAGAAAAAAACACTGACAACCTGACAGACTTTGTAGTGTCACAGTGACACAGTGCTAATAATGTGACATAGCTTGCCAAGTCAGACTGGTTGAACAGAAGTGAATATTTTCTGGGTCCCTTAAGGGGCACTTTACCATAAGATTTAAGCTACGTCATATCATCAGTATTATGACACCGTGAAATGGACCATTGTACTGAATGAATTCAAACTGCGGTCCCACAGCAAAACTATTTAAAAAAAAAAAATTATTTGTTTTTTAAAAATAAAGTATTCAGACTTTATATATTTGGTGGGATTATGTTATGATCTATTAAAACTGAAAACATTAATTGAGATGGTAATATGCTAAATATACACAATATCATCACTTATAGACTTTCGGGAGGTGACCGTCCCAAACGCCAAACGCCTCTAAACTTGTAAAAATGGTACTTACCTTTTTTGTATTTTCTCGTGTTCTTTTAAAGATATTTTTGATTTTGTTTAATGTACAGTTAAAAGATTCAATCATTCATTTTAATAAAATAAATATAATTAAGGTATTGGGTCACTCAAAACAATTTGTAGTCTAAGGTCCAAGTCAGTTAAAAGTCAGGAAGTGTGAGAAATGTGACTTTCAACCAATTTGGTGCAATGAACCAAATACACTAAACTACAGTCATCATAATGTACTGTAATTTCACCCAAAAAACAACACAAACCAATGTCAGAAAAAATCAGTCACCTGGCAATTTGACATCAAAACTGACAGAAGCAGCCTTTATGATAGATAACGCCATTTGGAGTACACTTTTATAAATGTCTGTAGGTATATGTCAGTTGTGCTTATGCAGGTGTCATGTAGTCTTATAAACATTGCCCATTGCCTTCGGTGTTACCGAATTCTCTGATCTCCCCATGTTGATGTTTATACACGTTTATGTAACTATTGCATATGTTTTTGTAATTTTTCTCTTTTCTGGGTCCTCATCGCAACTATGTGTCATTCTGTAAAGCACTTTGAGTCACAACTGCTATAAAAGCGGGAAGTTAAATAAAGATTTGATTGATTGGTACAACGAAAGTACACACAATGAGTCCTGGATGACCACTTAAATAGTTTCTAGGACTAATGAATGGGAATACACATTTTCATAAGAACTTCTTAAAGTGCCGGTAATTGTGCTACAAGAAAAATTCATATTTTTAACACAAGAGAAGCAAATAACCAGCCACTTTTCCAAGGGTGCCACTAATTCTACAACACACTGCACCATTTTTAAACTCACCTAGAATTTCTTATTTAATGCATGATATGCAATACATTAACCTCTGAACATTTTTCTACTTAAGCCACTAAACTCATTCACAGAGTGCTGCTGGCAGTGTGTTGGTGAAATGTTTCACTGAGTCTCAGTTTATGCAGGTACTGTGTGAACGATCCTTCAGCTAAAGCTAATCAGCCAGGAAATTTGCACACAACTAGTTTTATGAACTACTTAGTTAGCACAAGTACTTCCAATTTTAGTATTGACACAATTCAAGAACTGGGAGTAATCACTGAAGAAACAGCCCCTATAGCTATTACAGTCATCTCTGAGAAGCAGTTGGTATAAAAGGTGATTACTGTAAATGTTCCAAATTTCTAGCTGAGTATTACACATCAGCAAAGCTGTTTCTCCTATTCAGCGCACTCTCAGTTTCAGGGTTTAATTATACAATATAAATGACTCAGCATAGCCGCTCAGGACCATGGACAGCACTTCGGTGAGACTCAGGCTTAATGTCAGCAGAGCTGGATGTTACATTAGTAGTCTTAAATGTTCAAACAGTTTATTCTATCATTGTCATTTAAACGAAAGCTTAATAAAGTACAACTGGATCAGAAGAGAGTAGTTCTCCAACGTTAAGCAATGATACCTTGCCAAAAGCTCTGTACAAAGAGAAGTTCCATGACCACCATCACAGTCACACAGACAGTGATATCAGACAGACCAAGAAGATGGCAAAATTTCAGAAGTAAATTACCCGTGTTTAAATATGGTGTAATAAGCAGTTGTCTAAATCTTCAAAACCTTTACATCTTGACCACAAGAGGTCAGCACACCATCCACTGTCATCAAGAGAGATTAGCGACCTGTCTCCCAGACCCAGATGAAGACCAATACTGGACTAAAACGAATTTATTCCAGGTCTAGGCCTAATCCATGTCCAGAGATGCTATATAACAGGCCATTTCAGCTGCACTGATATGCTGGTGGTTTTCAAGGCTTGACTTCCAAAAGACATACAACAAGCTATATAAAAAGTGCTGGAACCACTTTTGAGTTTTTCTCCTTTTTTTTTTAATTGCAGCTCACTGAAATACATGGAAATGTAAATATTAACAAAGAATATTTCATGGTTTAGGCCTTTACAATACATTCTAAACAAAGAAAAAAAAAGATAGATCACACTGTGGTTTATTGTGAGATGGGTTTAAAAGTGAATGAATGTTCTTTGCCAAGTGAGACAAATGTGACAAAAGAGAAATTAACTGATGACTAAACGCTTCAAAGCAGTAAACACTTGAAATCACGCTGTCGTCCATTTCTACATGATCTCCATACAGCCATACGATACACGTATACAAGATTATTCAGTGGTTAGATTACAACCAAATAAAGAAGAAGAAAAAAAAGAAACAGAAAAAGATAACTTTTTACATAAAATACTTTTGAAGTATTGTCTTACAGTAACTTCTGAAGTATTGTCTTACCCTTCCAAGAAGAACATGTCCTAAGCAAAACCTTAAATCCTTAGGGATAAAGAATGATCACAAGGTTGCATTACTAAGCATATCCCAAAAATAAGTGTACAATATGCACACTTGGAGAAATACAAAATTAAAAGCTAATCTATGCGGACTGGTGAGATTTAAGTAAAAGTGAAAAGAAGTGGAGCAAACTGTCCGAATGTTCTCGTTCATCTTTGTGGTAAAAAGCAATGTCTATGAGTGTCCATGAGTTCGATCATTCATCCGGCTGCAACGTGCCATCTGTGGACAGCCGGGTCGGACGCAGCTCTGCTCTGCTCCGCAGCAAGGGCCACAAGGTTAGCAGGCTGATTTGAGGACAGAGGGGTTCCCAATGTTTAGCTTTTGTGTCTTTTACAATGGCCATAATTTATCCCAAGACCTTGAGGTCTTTTTTTTTTTGCCCCTGCTCCTTGGGAGAACTACAGAAGAGCACAGTTCAAACCTCCAGTGTTAAGATGCTGTAGCGTTGAGGCTGGGTTCAGGTGTAAAAGGGGAAAACGAAACGGAGGTGCTCATTGGTTGTTTTTGGCTTTCGCATGTGTTAGAATATGCGATTTGAGGTTGGTGGACTGAGCAAACTTTTTATTGCAGCCATCGAATGGGCAGACGTACGGGCGGTCTCCGGTGTGAATCCGCACATGTGTGCGTAGGTTAAAGTCCAGCGAGAAGCGTTTTCCACAGCCCTCAAAAGTGCACTAATCAGGAAAGATAAACACAAGAGTTAGAGTTCTATCAGATCTATATCCAGTCTGTTCTGAGCATGTTTGACGACAAAACTATTAGCAGAAGTTTAGATCTGTAAACAGAACAAGCACATGAAAATGTTCTTATTCATTAAGTGGATCAGACAGATACATGAGCAAGAGTTTGAAAAGAAATGTTTGATGTTCCCTTCTGTTCAAAAGAAACCATCTGAGCTTCAGTGACAAAAGTGCATGTTCTAACCTGGAAAGGCTTTTCTCCAGTGTGAACAAGTTGGTGGCGCTTTAGCTTGGAGCTCTCCACGAAGGCTTTACCACACTCGGCACACACGTGAACCCGTGGTCCGTGAGTGTGTAGGTGCTTCCTCATTGCAGAGTTATCCCTGAACATCTTAGTGCATCCCTGGAGGTAAACAAACTTGATTAAGATGGTATCACCATTACACTGCGCGGAAAAAGGCCCTATCTGCATCCGCCTTCAGACACTTTAACAAGAGTATTTAAAAGACAAACCCTGGACACACGTATTATTGGAATGACATTAGAGCAGGATCTTGCATTCCTAAGTGCGCTGATGTTATTAACATGCATGCAAAATACAATTAAAGCCCCTTTTACATATACACTTTTACAGAGGAATTTACCAGTAATCAAACAGGAAACGGTTAGGCATGAAAGCACGCCAGAGTCAAAATACTAGTAAAATTCACAGCTTGTGTGATATATTTCTGTATTTATTATTATTTATTTAATTAATTGTGAGTTCATATGAGAGAGAAAAGTCAAATGAGTTGTACTTTTGTGCATGATTTAAGCTAAGGAACTGTTGGTTATTAACGCTGAGGACATAATCTCCTGTTTACTAGAATTTTTGTGTCATGTATTAATACATGCATCCTGGTAAAATACCACTTTAGTGCTACATATGCGAATAATGCGAAGCCTGAACGTGACTGGAAAAATATTGTGATAATGGCCCATCACCGGGCTGGATTTTAAACCAAGCATGCTTATTGCCTTATGGATATTGATTACTGACCACTTAGGTACTAAAATTTGGTACTGAATGACATGGAATTTTTGATACTTGGTATAGCTGATGTAATTCGGTTTGCACCATACAGTACTGAGTTGATATCCAGCCCTGTAGGTTAGAACAAAATTACTGTTTTTCACATAACCTCTATTTAGACTTAATGTAATAAAGTTTGTAAGTGTGAAAAGCAGTTGTGCTTGTATTGATAAAGACACGTTCATTCTCCCACTCTCTCTCTCACTGGAGGCAAGACATGAGAATAAGCTTGTTCAAATTATTAGGTTGAGTGCTGCATGGAATGGGAAACATTTTAAACCAGTAACACAGATTCCAAATTAATGTTAGTTACGGAACAGTTAAGGCTGATTCTTTATTCAGTTTCATTTCTGTTCCTTGCCCTGCTGTGATCAGATGAGAGACTGAACAATAATGGGAGGTACAGACAGAGTCAATGAGACAGACTAAACTCAATTAAATTCACAGTTCATAATTTGCCACCTAGTGGCAGTTTACTGTATTTTGTGTGACTTGAAATTTAAAATGCTAAGTAATTCACTACCTCTGAGTCTAACGTGAATAAATTAGAAAACACACTCACTTTGTGGGGGCAGGCTATCGTCCTGGGTGCATCATCCTCTTTGATCTTACGTGGCTTCATTCTGAGAGAACAAAAAGAACACAAGACTTGATCAACTGAATTTAGGCAAAAGGAAATGTACTGTTACACATACAGACACTGCTTACAGAGGCTCCTATTATTTGTGCACATATGAATGCAAAGCACAGACACAGACTAGAACCAAAAAAGTGGGTTCTCTGAAAATTACACTACTAGTGTTCGCTGTGAGTGTCAAAGAACTCAGCCCCTTACAGCCCCATTAGTGATTACAATAAAAGTTTCATCATATAGCGACAAACTCCGAGACCAATATGGTCAACAGTGCACCAAAGATCCACATCTTACCGTGCTGAGTCGCGACCAAAAGGGCCGCCATTGTTACTGTAGGGACTAAGAAACACCAGTAATTAATAATTATTAGATTCAAAAATGTTGTACAGAGAGCCAGTCTGCACAGAAAAGGAACCTTTGCAAACTTAGATGCTGTGTGGAAATCAAATATTAAAAATAAATAAATAAATAAATGCTTACTGTGGCGCACATTCGTTTTTGAACATGGTTGCTTATGTCAGGAATCACTCAGCAGGGATGCCTGCACTCTTACGTAATACATTATACAGTACTTCTCCTCTGAAATCTGGCTTTGTACATACTATACATATTTAAATGGTTTCAGTTTTGTAGTTGTAGTAAACATTTCAAACCATCATTAATTCCACATCTGTGCAAATCTGAATAAAAAAAGGACTTCCACCCAGTGCTTGGTTGCTAACAGGTTTTTCAATTTGTACGTACAGCTGTATAAACAGCCTAAATGAAGAGCAGTTAAGATTAATCAACCTATTTCAAATCATAGTGCTCTCCACAGACACCCTACTTCTGATTGAAACCAAACACCAAAGGCTAAGTCACTCACATTACTGTTATCATGTCAGTAAACAGTTACGTTAGTCTGAGATCATCTCACCTGGCAAACTCTGCGAGCTGTTTGGGGTCTGAGAGGTCGATTCCCGGAATGCCACCAGGAGGGAGCTTCTTTCCAGTCATGTATTCAGAGTAGTCTGGAGGAGAATTCTCTCCAATAATCTGTTCCTCCACCACAGTTTCATGGTCAATGTCCTTTTTGTCATCTGAAATGAAATTTTTTGTGTACTGTGAGTGGCCTGACCAAGCTCAGACTTTCCAGATGAGTGTTTTGAGAAATCAAGGCATTTTTGGTCCAATAAACAGTGCTGGGTGATATCACCCCTATACTGGTATGCCATGATATTGCTTTTCAGTTTTAGCAATATTTCTGTAATATTTTTAGTTATGACAGATAACAGATGTTACAAAGCTGTTCAAAAGTTTGGGATAACGTGTCATTAATAACTGCTGTTATTTTAGTCAATAACATTAAACAGCCTAGATTGAAATACTGCACATGAGAACTAAAGGTACTTTAAGGTAACTTTATTACTTGCTACTACTTACTATATTTCAAGCTCTTTAGAAAAACAAATAAGTTAAATGATAAACAATATCCTCTAATCACCCATTTACAGTTATTCCTTAATAAGTTATCTGCATCAAGACTGAATGACCATTCAGCAGTGCTGCTGGAGTTTTTAAACACCTCAGTGTCACTGCTGGACGGACAACAGCATCCTGTGACCACTGATGAAGGACTAGGGGATGACCAACACAAACTGAGCAGCGACAGATGAGCTACTTTCTTTGTCTTTACATCTACAAGGTGGACCAACAAGGCAGGAGTGTCTAATAAAGTGGACAATAAGGGGACAAAGTGTTTAAAAACTCCAGCAGCACTGCTGTGTCTGATCCACTCATACCAGCAGAACACACAGTATCACACACCCCACCATATCAGTCACTGCAGTGCTGAGAACGATTCACCACTCAAATAACACCTGCTCTTTGAAGGTCCTGTCTGTTGAATAAAAGGTTAAAGGGTCTAACAAAGTATCCAGAAAAACAGCGCACCTGTATTGTAATGGGCGCTGATAAAATGCACAATGAGTATAAATACAAAGAGGCAGTTTTAACGTTATGGCTGACTAGTGATCATTCTCAAACAGCACATGAAAGCACATATTGTATTTATTGTAAATATTACAAATGTGGCCTATTCTCTTGGTTCCCCAGTTTGATATTTATATTATTTACTCCATCATGTATACACACTGCATGAAGTTAGCATCAGCAAGTGGCAAGTGCAAAAAAAAGGTAATTAAATAATTTTTATTGCATTCAACACCATGCTGCTAGCAAGACACCGATACCACAGATTAGGCAGAGGAGCTGATGCTATCAGCTACGGATACACTACATGCAGAACGATAAACAATAACAAAACAGCGGCCACTAGCGTTAACTACCCCCAGAGGGAGCCGTATTAACTGAGCCAGACCAGTTCGATCGTTTCCTTACTCCTAAACACTCGCTTCAACAAATCAGACAAATAAAAGGTTGAAAGAGCATGGAAACTGCCAAAATATGTTGCAGTTTGGTTTCTCGGTTGGAAAAAACAGCTAAACTGATCAGTTTTAAAAGTGAAGGAAGCACCCTAGCCTTTGTTGAACTACACTAACGTTAAGCGTTAACGTTATACACTCGGGGGATATGAGCCTAAGAAGAGTCTGGGCCTTGAAAAGAAAAACAACAAAGATCAGCCATGATAAAAGCCCCGCCGCTAAAATGGCTGGTAATAATAATATTAATGATGTCAATCATGATAAAAGTTTCAATGAATCTCATTTGTAACAATCGGTTGAATAAATCGTATCTAACGTTACCGTTACCAATACCCAGCCGAGGAAAACAATGCACATTAGCAAATTAGCTAACCTAGCTCATTTAGCTAGCGTGCTACAAAACCAACGGCAGTTGAACAAAAACGCACAAGTTACAGATACAGAATTAGCCCGAAACGCTGTCTTTTAATAACGACAGTGTGTTTATGTGCCACAATACGGTAATATTAATCAATTTAGAGTGCACCCTGTTTGTTTTATGAGTACTAAGCCTCTGAGTTAGCCCGTTAGCCGCTCTGCGCTCCGCGGCCTACACGCAGCGCGACCAGCGCGCTCTCTCCCTCCGCCATCTTCGCCATTTTTACGGGCCGCCATACTGGACTCGGCGAACATGGCGGCGCCCAGCAACACCTAAAACATGGCCTCCCTTCAAAACAAAAACACACCGCTCTAAGTGCTCGCATTTTCGGCGTGCGGCAGTCTCAGTAACACTCCCGACACTGCGTTACGGGACGGGGTGGCGGAGGGAGCCGCTGCGGACGGACACCGCCCTGCCAGGCCCTGCTCTGTAAGCTACAGACACGGCAACGAGCCGACGAGAGAGAGAAACTTCCCAATTTGGCCCGGATAACTCACCTGACGCCCACATCGTAACGGAGAACTCGCCTTCCAGCGTCTTTATTTGCACCTGCTTTTGCTCCCATTTTCTCCCGGTGGCCTCGGTGGCGCTTAAGTAGCTCTTTTTGCCTGCTTTCTTGCCGCTGCCTGTCCCCTTCTTCATCCGCCCCACGGAGCTTTTCCCCGCCACCGTAACCAGAGTCTGCCCGATGTACTCCTCTTCTGCGCCGGGAGCGGGGACGGGGATGAGGATCTGATCCTCGAACCCGTCGTCGGCCCGGAGGTCCGATTCGTCCCCACCGACGACCTCCTCTCGGGTCTGCACCAGAATTACCTCCTGGTGGTGGTGGACCTGGCTCGGATCGTCTGTTACGAGAGGCTGCAGCGCGATCATGGGCTGGTGATCGTCATCGTCGTCGCCGCCGACCACCGTCGTCTCGATAGTCTCCACAGGAATCGTCTCCACCTCGATTTCGTGCAGCTCCACTATTTCAGCCGGCATCTCCGACCCGTCTGTCTCTATGTACAGCGTTTCGCCGGATGCCATGTTGAACTCCGCCAGCTTTGCTCGCTTGCTTGCGCACACACATACACACACTCGCAACAGAGCTCGTTGGCCCACAAACACACACCCCCTCCGCTGAAACGATTGCTGCTACTGCTACTGCTGCTGCTGCCGCCCTCCCTCTCTTCTATAATACAAATAACTCCACTCCGTTCACACGCGTTCACGTCGCCACTACGCTCCAGTTTCAACTCTCGCGAGATTGAGGGAGGCTTGGTGCGCGCACACGCGCGCGCTTTCATTAAAGGACAGCAGGATTATAAAGGATTTTGTGTTGTTTTGTGATGGAAATCGTTTATTCTCACCAAAGACAAATGCTGCGACCCAAACTGACATTTTGGACATTTTTTGGATACACAAACAATGATGTGTGGTTGAATAATTAAAAATAAACCTAAGCGTTTAAATTGATTTTTTAAATAGAATTGTGCAATTCACTTTTGAATTCTCAGTACTGAAGCACAGTAAGATTCGAGGATAAATCTGTAACTAATGTTTTCTTTTTTCCTAACTTTTTTTTCAATTAAGTATTTTAAAGCTAATCATGACAAGATATATATTTGACAAAATTTAGTATTTTGCGATTCAGTCTCATTACCGAAACACATTGACAGCCTTTGAGTTTTTTCGTTTTTTTGTGTGCCACATCATATATCATTGCTTTGGTAAACGTCACAAGAAAACATTAAAATAAAGAAATTCAACTGTTTAAAATAATACTCATTCTCATTTTTTTCATTTCTCATTTTTTTTTAATTAAAAAAGTGTTAAATGTCAGTAATGAGAAACAGATATGTAGATACACTGTGATACTGAGAGAATTTACTGAATAAAATTAATTGTAGTAATATATAATAATAATTTAATAATTACAATCATACAGAGCTCCGATTGATTTACTGAATAATGTAAATATTGTTTGTGTACAATGGTTATGACACTGAATTGTTTGAGGCAGTTCGGTGAGATTGACACAAATATAGACCATAAACTTATATTTAATGTATTATGTTTGTAAATATTATGTATGTAAATGTCATATTCGTAACATTATAAAGCCTTGTGTTCCCTTAATCTCTGATTTTCTCTTTATTTATATGTGATACCATGCATACATTTATTTTTCCTGCCTTTTGTACATATGTGTATATATAATCTGTCTTTCTTCTTTCTTATTTCTTGTACTGTTAGCTTTGTTGTGCAAACTGAAATCAAAGTATTTTTGTTAAACATTTTTCAGGTCTTGCGGTATAAATATTTAATAACAGTAAATAACTCACATGGAGTATAAACACTGAATTGCAGTTCTTGATACTGAAATCAGGGAAATTAAAGAATTCATAAATACATACTACATTAACTACACACATCTTTAGATATTATGCTGTGTATTGAAATCAGTATGATCATCATATGAATCTCTCTGCACATGCTGTTTCGTGTCTGTAGGGGGCACTCTACTCATCATAGAACAAGAAGAGTGATGCACAAATCTCTCAGAAGTAAACACACCGCCTCATTTATCCAAGACATTTCTTCAGAGTTTTATTTCAGTTCATTTTAAATGTAATGTGTATTTTCTTTTCCTCCAAACCAGGAAGCACTTAGTCAAAAAGGGAATAAACCAAACAATACTTCACCATATCCTTGCAGCCAATAAACGTTTTATTAACAACATGGTCACAAATACTCTGGTGTACTGATGTTTTTTTTTTCTTTGTAAGATTGCAATATCCAAAAAGCAATAGTCTGTCTCCTGTCTCTCATCACTGGTTCCACCTTGTTTTAAAAATCTTCCTGTCAGTGATTACACACACATTTGTGTTGCCGAAAGGACTGTAAAAATCTTAAAAAAAAAAAAATCATGATCAGTGAGAAATAAACTGGTGGTGTATATGTGTATATGTTTATAATGAACATTAACACAAGAAAAGGAAAATAAAGATCAATAAAAATATAAAAGGCTAACATTTAGACATGTGCAATGATCAAAGACATTATTATTATTATTATCATCATTATTTTATCAATTATTTGTACCATTTCATCACTAACCTACTACCACTTACATGAACACCACTACCACCACTAATAATAATAATAATAATGACAATAATAATAATAATAATGAAAAAAGAAAAAAAAAATCATAAAAACATTTTCTCTAAAGACTTTGAAAAGACAGTTGCCAAATATTTAAACCCAAAAACAGAGAGATCAGTGCAAGTGTCCTTCATCCATACACATATCTGAGGGTTAGCTCAGGTACACTTCATGTTAGAGCAAAATGGTCCGTTTGCTTTAACATGGCGGTAACATTGCTGGGCGTCTTCCCCTCTTCAGCTACAGCAGATCCTGCCAGGGGTTTGGGTCTCATAAAAGATGGGTTGCACGGGTCTGGGAGATTATGTCGTGCTAATTCTACTAAGTTCATGTCTAATGGCTGAAAGAGATGATAGGAACATGTATTACCATCTGAGTCATCTAATGATTCATGGTTCATTTAGCATATAATAAGGCCACAAATGATCACATTCATGATTATAAATTGCAATGCCATGTACTTATCATTATTTCATTTCATTAGGCTTTAGTATAATCTTGGAATGTGCGGTCGTCTGGGTGTAATATATGATAATAAATTATACAGTGAGGTCCAAACATCTGAGACCACACTGAAAATCTGGGTTTTTTCCCATTTAAACCAGGAAATAAACAACAGAAAGAAAAAGAAGTGCAAGATTCTTCACTATTTCACATTTGTGACTTTGGTAATGTTTAAATAGGTCATCCTTTTTTGTCTTATCCCTTCCGTTGAAGCCCGTGTTCAGATGACTCTGTATTTAATCTACTCATCAGAGGCTTATGCACAAACTTGTAAAGTTTATACCAGCTCGAGTGCACACTGAAGAAAACATGAGAATACTAAGAAATTCTGAAATTCATGTAAATATTTTATCAAATTGGCATTCTGATAATATATTGTGTAACAAAAAACTGTATTAAACTAAAAAGCATGCAAAATTGAAGAATTTTCACTAATAGCCTCAGACTTCTGGACCCCACTGTATATATAAAGTAAGTAACTGAACATACCATCAATGATTTCATCCTTCACCTTGTGCAATTCACGAACAACTTCTTCCAAGATTTCCTAATAATTTATACAGTAAATTAGTTAACAGAAAACATTAACAATTACACTTGTAGCAAATAAGAAGAATGATAGCAGGACTTTAATACATCTAAATCAGTATAATAAGGTTAAACAACTACCTGTTTCATTCTATCGAAGTCTAAGGCGTCTGTGTCATTACCACTCCCCACGGGTCGAACCCTAAACCAACACACACAGGATTTACATTCAAACACAGAGACCTGACTTTCCTTTTAAAAACACCAGTCGTCTGGTTATATTTATTAATGCTCATTGATTAGAAGATTCCTACAGTTGAATTCACTAAAACTGAGGGGTGTTAGAATTTTAATCCCACTAAATTCAAGGTTTATTGTTCAGTCATTAATCTTAAGTCTTACTGTTCAATAACTCCTGTTTATCACTTGATATTTAATTTAGTTGTACTATATATTATTGTTTTGTATTTAATTGACATGAGTATGAGAGAGTTGGATAACATGTATTTCATTGCGTTTTAATATACGCTGATGTAGACTAATGAATATTAACATACACTTCCTTGCTATTAATCCCTTAAAATCCATTCTTCAAAGGAGTTATATAGTTACAAAAGAGAGGATTTAAAGTGTGGGACTACATATCGTTGCTGTCCAAAGAAAAACAAGTTTACAGGAGAGGGCAAAAACGCTCTGTAAAGAGGTTTTATTTAAAGTGATTTTGGAGCATTTCCATTTGTCCAACCATCATGAAATTTTCACACACCATAAAGGACAGCTGGTGTGTTGAAATGATGTAGAAAAATAAATTATTTATATTATTATTTACAATTATATACAATTATTTATAGATATTTGGTTTTCTTTGCGACAGCAACAATATGGACCCTTAGGTTTCACATAGTTAATCACATTTAATAAACTGTCAGCTTTAAAATGAATTCATTCGTGCATACTTTTATCATGTCTGTACAATAAGATTTTTTGAACTGCTGTGAAATACTGAAATATGAAACGCAAAGGGGGTTCCTGTGATATAAAACCTGAAAATACAGCCTGATTTCTGAGAATCCCTTACTTAGATACCAAGGATGATCTCTCTGCAGAGTTGGCTCGATCCCATGGCTTCTTTGCGCCATCTGCAGGAGAGAATAAAAATAGCAGATTACAGCCTACATGGCAGCACAGGGTTTACCTCTGAATAGAGAATGGCCCACTTATTATGATCTCTTAATGCTTTCAGAGAACAGAATCCTTCCTATTTAACCTTGCTATCTGACATTATTAACAATAACTGCCCTCAGATAAAACATGAGCATTAATACTGCTGTCATTTTCATGTGGTGGTATACTGAAACATCATCATTCAGATTGGTAGATGATATATATGAAGAATGTGTTGATGCGGTGGGTACCTGAGGCGTTCTGTCCTCTAGACATGGGAGAGGGGGAATTTGGATCGTCCTAAAATACATAAAGCTTAGGTTTGTGAAACAATACTAAGGATTCAATTAAGTATGTGTAGAAATATGTGAAACATGGAAACTTCAAATGTAAAACCTGGTATACTGGTACTATTATATTAAAACTGCATAATTCCATTGGTTTAGTTTTTTTTAAGATTAAGAGACCCTTATTAGTCCCACAACTGGGAAATTTCACCTCCACAATCTAACCCATCCATGCAGTGAAACACCACATACACACTAGTGAACACACACTAGGGGGCAGTGAGCACACTTGCCCGGAGCGGTGGGCAGCCAATCCGCAGTGCCTGGCGAGCAGTTAGGGGTTAGGTGCCTTGCTCAAGCACACTTCAGTCATGTACTGTTGGCTCAGAGGATCGAATCAGCGATGCTCTGGTCATGGGGCTGGTTACCTAACCTCCAGCCCACGACTGCCCCATTTTATGTGTTATTTTACATTGTAAACTGTTTTACAGATTATGGTAACATTTCATGTGATTAGGCAAACAGCCCAAAATGGCCCAAAAATATGCCAAAAGAATATTAAGAATGTTTTTTCCTTTTTTTTT